CAAACACGTTAATGGTGGTCCCAGCAACCTGTCCAGATGCACTGAAGCAAATACAATTGCTGGGCCAAGAGCTGGAGAAGACAACAGCAGAGCCCTTCCAGTCCCCAGCTCCCTCTGGAGTTCCTGCAAGGTAACTGAGCACGAGGTGACTCAGTAACCTGCCTAGCCCCTGAAATGAATGGTGCTATATCAAAAATAAACACAAACCACCTTTCAACCTGCACTTAACTCATCTTGCTCAATCAAGTGAATACTTTGATTGGCTGAGGACAGCAATAAAGGCAGGGAGCAGATCAGCCCTGTTCTTGCTCCACACTTGCTGGGACATCCAAAGGCTGCAGAGCAGCAGATCTATGTCAAGGAGCACAGGTCTCTTGCTCCTGCTCAGCGAAGAGTGGGGACTCCCCTGGCAGGGTCTCCAGAGCCTTTCCAAGGCTCTTCAGCATTGCTCACACCAGCATATGAAGGACAAGACACAGCAACACTCACCACAACAGCAAGGCTGAACTCCCTGGCCAGTGTCTTCAGCTCCCTGGCCAGATGCATCATGATGGCCAAGCCTGCAGGAGGACAAAGCATTTGGGGGTCTGGGTGCCATGGACCAGGTATCATGGACACCTTCACCCCATTTCCACAACCACCACCCCAACGTGCCCATTGCACCTCTACATGCAGTGCAGCTCAGCCAAACGGATGTGACATGGACAGACCAATCCCCAAGTTGTCCCATTCCCTCCTTTTTCGTCTTAGAAGCCCTGAGGCAAAAATAACCCTGCAAAAGCACCAGGAGCTCCAGCCAATGCTGGCCAGGTTGATTCAGCAGGTACAGGACCCCTCTCTTGAGTTCACAGCTTCATTTCATGCAGCCCCTGGCTCCTCTGATAGCACTGGCTGCCACTCAAGTTTGGAAGACCCTCTGGAAGGTGTCTGAGGGGCCTCCTTGGCATCTCAGCCAGAAGAAAGCCCCTTCCTCCTGCTTTGTGGTCCCTTCTGGTAGAAAGAGCCTCAGGGAAGCTTTGCAAACTGTGCCAGCAACCACAATGTACCTGTGACACTGTAAACGGAGGTTTTTGTCTGTGGGCAAACAGTTCAGTGGCTCCTCAGCCCCTGGCCAGGTTTCAGACCCCCAGCATGGGCCTGAATGGCCACAGCCAGCTTGAGTGTTTGCTGCTGACTCTGCAGACTCCACTTTTATCCAGTTGTGAAAGAGAAGCCTGGAGCAGTCACAGTCAAACCTGCCCTGCCCCAGCTCCAGGCACAGCACCCGGGGGGGAAGATGCTCTTTGGGATGAGCAGAGATGCCTGGAACCCCAGTGCACCCCGTGGGGCAGCTCACCCTCTGACTGCTTCCCACCCAGCAGCGGGGAGAGCACAGCTGAGACTGAGTCGACCACCACGATCTTGAGAGGTGCCGTGGAGCTCACGACCTGGAAGGAGGAGGCTCCAGGTGAGATGCAGAGAAACAACCCACGGTCCTGCTGGTTCTGGGGCTCACGGGGGGTCCCCAGGACGGGGCACAGTGCTGCTCCCCCCAGGGAAGT